TTCTTGGCTGCAGAATTGAAAAAGCATTGTGATGTGATGCCATATGACAGAAATTAGCAAAAATAGTGTGATAATGAATACGCTGAACATAAAAAGTGATTAATTTAGTGCAAACATCCAATAACATGAAGTGATGACAATAAATCACTGGTCTCATGCATTCGTCCCTCTTTCTTCAAGCGTTTTCATTGAAAATACTTATCTGGACTTACAGTGCATTAAAAATTTGTTTACGACTCAGTGCGATTCGAAAGTTGTTAGACTGAAAAACTGGAAAAGCATTTAAGATGATTAAATGTGCTCGAACGATACAATCCAAAATATGAAGAACAGATCAGTTCTATTGTGTAAATAGACAAAAACAATTTAGACAATAGTTAGGCAAGCATTCATGACGACAGCCTTAGAACTAGCGTTTAGCTGTCAACCAAGAGTTCCTTTGCAATGCTACATTGCATTGCAAAGGAACTGTTGGTTGACATAGATTTCCCAAGATAAACAATTTGAGATTTTGAAATTTTTTGAGACTTTGGTTGACATAGTTTTTTTCTCGCGTATTGACAAAGACATTATGAGATCAATAAGCAATATAAGAGATGAGTGCCTCGTGAACCAGTTTATTTAACGATTTCATTCCGAATTCTTAGCTATTTTGATAATTCACCACCCCTGCGCTCAACAATCAATGAGGTGCAACGGATGGAAATGCATCATCCATCCCCATAAATAAACAACAAGTGAATCAGGATAGACCATAGTGTTGAAACAAAATTGGATGCTTCGCATATGAATCATTCGAATTAAGTGGTGATGTGGCAACGGAATGAAATGCTGTTGCATGAAAGGATTTAAGTGAGAACACGAACGTACGTATAACGATAGAACATGAACATGCAACAAAGAACGGAAAACATCGTGATGACAATAAAACGAACGTCGATGATGCGTGCTGTTAACGCAATTAAACTCAAACTGCGCACACGTTCGTAACCAGGATTCGCGAGGATTAGTTATCTTCGTTCAAGGTGAATTTTTGTTCTCGGAACAATTTTCAGTGCGAGATGAGACGGCTATCTCCAGTCTCCCTCATAAAAATTGGTCCCATCTCCCTGATTACGAGTCCATTTGTGCACACAGATAAAAGTTAGCAAATGAAAACATTAATCGAATTTAGTAACAGCTCATGTGAAAATGCATCTCCTTCTAGTCTCCCATTCATCCAGTCAGTCGCAAAGAGGCAAGCATGGAAGTCGATGCCCATGAACAACATGAAACTTTCCTCTGGTGGTGGAGATGGGCTACAGGGAGAAACTAAACATATGAAGAGATTTCCGGATGACGTACCGTTGCTCCCAGTTGGTTCGGCAATGCTTCACCATGTGATTCTGATTGCTTCTCGCCATCACCGCTTTTACCTTGGAGTGGTTCCTGAGAGCTATTCACTTCATCCGATGAAGGCCATAGATGATCTGTTGAAATTGATGCCATATGCCCAACGTCATTCGGAACATCAGAATGTCTCCTCAGCATGGCAGCATCAGTAGCTGATAAAGATCCAGCTGTATTGTCGTTAACCGGTAAATTCCCTGATGGTTGCTGTGGATTAATTTTGATGGTGGGCGTCGGATCAATGTTAATCGGATAAGGAGAAACCGTTGCAGTCGGGCTGGCTTGAGGCAGTTGATCTGACGCATCTCGAGGAAGAGGTGGAGGGGTAGGAGAGGGCGGTGATGGAACACTGAATGAAGATGCCGTTGGTGACAGAGTAGATGGAAGCGGTTGTGCATTCAGATCAACTGGGTCGTTGCTTGACGGATTGCTAGGGGGTGCCGTTCCAAACGAAGATATCTCTGCGCCCACCGTATTGGGAGGAACCTGTTGTTTCTG